TAAACAACTACTCATTAGGATTAGTAGATAATTACACTTCAATTGTCAGTAACAAGCCGACAGGGTTTGCTATCTGGGGCGAGATAAACAATCGGACCATTCTAATCGGTTTCTGATTTTGCCTTCCAGTCAGCTTGCGAAAAAATAGGGTGATCTGCTGAGGAAGTTGAACATTAGAACAATATATAAAGAGAAATTAACATTTTCTTCAGTAGTTCCTTAATATAAAACTGCCCTTAAAAGTAAATTGGTCCAAAAATCTGAACTCGCTGAAAGTATTGCTAATACATGACACGAAATATAATGGTTAACAAACAGCATTTGGCAGGCTACGGAGACTTCTCATTCAAGCGTAAAACGATAGTGTGTAAAAATATGAAAAACTGCCAACATCTTCAATAAGAGGAATGAGTGTAGGAAAGTGTTCGAATTATTTGTGGCTTAAGAAAAGGAAGGGAGTGAGCAGGAAGAACTTTGACCTAGAGGAGGGGGCTTGAGTAGTCCCGAATGAGGTTAGTACTATCACACTTCACATGACTTAAATATTGTATATATACAAGGCACAATACCATATGCCTAAGCATGCATCACGATTAGAGGATCGTACGCTGGTTGATGTATGCAGAGAAGCAGTTGAGACTGTATCCATCCCCTTTTCGTGACTCAACTTCAACCATCTGCAAGCATATCGGGTAAGTATGAAGCAGCCAACCAAATCATGGGATGCCTCTATAGGATCGCAAGATTGAATACAAATGAATAGGTCTACAGTCTAACACCTTATCTCTTGGTTTGGTAAATTGTTTCGGTTTTTCATAGAGTATGATTTCTCGATCTGGCAATGCATCGTGTGACAGAGGGAAGATCAGCCCCGATTCATCGGGACCGTAGGACGGTGGGCCAAAGACGTCTTTGCACAAGTAAACAGTCTTCACTCAAAGGAAATCCTCCTTAGATTTCCAGTAAAGCCAAGCCAAAAACTCCTATCAAACAAATTTTCTTGCAAAATACAAATTCAACTCCGTAAAAGTATTAGTAAGGAGGTGACTGACGTTTTAAGACAATCATCTGGTAGGTATATTCAAAATTAATGAATAAAAAAGATATATTCAGGTTCTACGAGGAAACACATTCTTTATGGATATTTCAAATCAAATAATTCAAATAAGGAAGAAACATAGAACACTGATGGTGCATGTATTAGCCTTCGCATTAAAAATATTATGTTAATATTTTAGACGGAGTGTAACTCCGAGGAGAAACAAATGCTTTTACGCATTCTCTATTTTGATGTCTTCTTTTTGTCAACTATTTCCGTCATGCAATGCAAGGAAGCTAAACTAAAGAGACGAGTAAAGTAATACCTGTGGGTGATGAGCCAGTCCAAGGCGAGGAGCATGATTCTTTACCAACTTGTGAATAAACATGGCAGCACGAAGCTGATTATTGAGATCATCATCAGCATGTAGCAATCGAGTGAGATGAGGCGCTACTGAGGAAGCTGTATCCACATCCTCCTGAAAATCATAATTTATATGAAATATAAAAAAAGGGAATTTTTAAGATAGGAAATGGCAAGTTAATAAAAATTGATTTGGCGTAACTTTGCTTTCGCAAATGAGCCATATTTATGATCCAATCCATCTTTTAGTCACATATAACTCCTACTTTATCGAATGTCTAAGATAAAGATGAATATTTAAAGGTAATAAACTAAGGAACTATATGGGGCTCAGTAGAGTGAGGTTGATAAAAAAACGAAATAACTTGTGAATCTTGCAATCCCAGAGGCAAATATTACCCAGAAGTAGATTTGGCATTATTAATTAGATGGAAATTTTTCAATTAGATTTTCATACACTAGGAGAACAGAAAATACGACTGTAAGCCGACCCTTTTATTAGCACGTAAAAATTCAACTTTAATGCTCATAAAAGGCCATAGGAGACCTCTAGTTTAGCGAATAAGTGTATTTTTAAATGGTGGACTTAGTCCAGAGTAGAACCCATTCTTACATCCATGGTACTATCACTACTTTACGTCATGTCTTCTTTTTACTACAAGTTAAGTTGAATAGTCCGATAAGCCTTTGACAGAAGCCTTATCTATGTTTAGGTCACTTAAATATAATGCGAGCGCAAGGAGATACGATACCTAAAAATTCAGATTTAAATAAGGGTCAGAGACCTGTTAAAGAATATTTACAAAAAATCATAGGCCCTGAGACTGTTACTGGCTGGACAACAATGATAAAAAAGAAGTTTTAAATAAAATCCAGATATTTTCCTGAATGGTGAAACTATCAGTAAAAGTATAACTGGGAAGGGGATCAGGGCAAATAAGTTAGTAGCCTTATCAAAGCTAATTTATGAACAATTTTCAGCTCTTAGATTTTAGTCGAGAACATATTTTGAATTCCTTTTAACAATATTGGTAAGAAATATAAGAAACATTTTTGACTTGCGACAGTTATTCTTAGAATGACCATCTACTTTGCGAGCGTGTTTCTGAGCCATATGCTTGTTTTTGTGTGTGCCTTCATGACCACTCACAATTTCGTTTCCTCATATATCTCTCGAACTCCCACTTATCAACCTAAATTGGGCCATCATTGGCTTAATGATCAAATTTAGAAAGATTTAAAAGTGTGTAATGATATTCGACTGACACCACGGTCTCGGAGTGTCAGGTTAAAAAAACAGTGAAAGTAAGCCAACATTACCCAAAACTTATAAAAAGAGTTATAGATGAAAGAAAACCGCTGAACGTAAGAAGGCAGCCAATTTAATTTAGCCACTGGTTTAATCACTTTAAAAATGCCAACAAAGTGTGGACATAGCTGCTAACATGATAGCACATATTCTGAAATTTAAAGCAATTTAGGTACTTACACAAAAAGCACTAATATGGAATCAAATTTATTCTTGACTAAATCCCTTATCAGAATCCAATCCATATTTAATAGATGGGATTCAAGCCAAAGTTAACCGAAATACGCATCGATGGACCTATAGCCTCGTGTAAATCAGGCGAGACTATAAATGTATAGATATTAGCAAGTAAGCAATCAGTTATACCCAATTAAGATTGCTAATAAAATTCACTCATGCTATTCAACCTCCTGGCTCAAGTAAATCCAGATTCAATATGTCTTAACTAGAAGATGGTAATTCAACTGGATTAAAAAATAATTATTTGCTGATTTCAAACAAATTAAAGCCAGTACAAAGGCTATGATCTTAAACCCCTCCCAAAGTGACTTTAAGAGAGAAATAGGTAATATCTCATATAAAACTAGTAAGAATTTTATCTTTATGGATCCCAATATACATTTTTAGTGAACAATACAAGCGTTAAAACTGTATATAATGATTCATATAGCCGAGGGTGTTACGCTTATATAGCAAGTTTTGAATCAGCAAGACCAATTAAGCAAGTTAACTTAAGTACAATAATTGCCATCAGATCCACATAGAGCAGATAGCATAAGTCATCGAAGCAAAATTTTAATGTCAATTCTCACAACTTTGCAAAGTTTATGATACGGATGTATAAATAAGAAAAATGCACTACCTATAGAGTATGCAAAGTCAAACTCAAAATAACTATATTAAATAAAATAAATGCATACCTTGTAATTTATCAAGAATTCGACACAGAGTCTAAGATCATTGGTTGGAGCATAGAGCTTTTGAACAGCTGAGACATATTTACGGTGATCGTTGGAAGATACAACGTCCTTAATATTAATACGTTTCCGAAATTTTGATTTATTATAAAAATCTAAATCGCCATGATCTGATATATCATTAATATATGCCTCAGAATTCGGATAAAGCATAGTTTATTTCCACGACTATCCTTTTGCTACTCAATTAGATAATATTATGTGCATTTTTGATTATAAGTAAAATTTGAGGAAACTTATACAACATCCATGAGTTAAAGAATAATTCTGATCGCTTCAAGAATTCTTACGAGCAACTTTGTGACACTACATATAAACAGGATGAGTAAACAGATATGAAACACGCGTTAAGCTTTTCTAACTACAATTAGTTTGTAATAACAAACTATAAATACTAAATAATATTTAATATTAAAAAGTAAATATATTGGCTATTTATAGAAAGAGGCATTGCAGATTATCCTTGAACGTTCTAGCATAATACATGTAGCAAATAATATTTCTATTTGTATCCTATAATTTATAATAATCCAGGAATATACTAGCACCGCAATAAAGAAAATTTAACTGGAGATTATATACCTACGAGTTGTCTACTAACCCTTTCGCTCCCCTTTCAATGCTCCCTGTATAATTTCTTCGCAGTCTATTTTACCATGTATCCTATTGCTGCTGGCACTTCGGATTTGCGATCGCTACGTCAACGTGTTTTAAATTATTGCTCGGAAGGAAATCAAAAGGCCTTAGCTGATTTTTTTGCCGAGCTAGATAAGGATCTCTGCAAAGAACTTGTGCAAAATCATTTTTCTGATGGCCAGACCAGCCTTATTGCTTCATGCAGAAACGGACACAGAGATCTTGTCAATTACCTTATCGACGTATGGCATGTCGATATTGAACAGGTTAACATTCACAACTATTTTTATCACCTTATATAATGTCACAATTATTTTGTTAGTCTGATTCATCCGTAACTAAATCAGTTTCTTTAAATATTGTTAATATCAGAATTTTTAGTTTATTCCATAGTTCATCCTAGGTGATATTTCTTTTTTATATTGGTCATACCCTGATCGCCTTGCATCACTATTTTAATATTACATTTTATTAATCTTATTACCCTGTAATGTGCTTAGCTTTCATTGCATCGCACTTAAACATCTGGTGAACCTTACATTACTAGTCTTTTTAGAATTTTCAACTGATTGGCCCCTGCTAGGTCAAATATATACTAGCAATAGATACATTTTGGCACCTATCATCCTTATTAC